GGAGTCAGGATTGTCCTTGTAGATAGGGTATTCCATTTCTGTTTCATATCCTGAGCTCTTTTGATAACCATCAGCCAACTGAATGATCCTTTCAGTTTCTGTTATGAGTCTGTATCCCATGAACTACAAGCATAATCTATGCTTCTCAGAGCCATTGGTTGATACACAAGGTTTTGTTCATACATGGTGTTGATAAAAGAAAATTAGAAGACAATAGTGGAGTGGAAGAAGCCATAGGAAGGAGAGAGAGACCAAGGAAGACTGAGAAAGGAAGAAACAAGTTGGCCAGTCTAGTAACATGATCCACACTTACTCTTTAGATACACCCCATGAGGAGCTTAGAGGCTTACCCAAAGTCAGGGCTCTATCCCTCAAGAGAGCTAGAACTTTGGTGAAGACTCTATCTCTGGCAGAATAGTGGTACTGTTCCAGTTCACAGAAAACTACACTGTGCGGTGGACACATCTGTACTGTAATGGAAGAGGAGTTCAGGCTCTTGGTCTGCTATTAACTAATAGGACGACCTTAGGCAAGCCATGTAGTTCTAGGAGAGTCAGGGTTTTTTTTTTTTTATCTGAAAACTGAGGCAGCAGGACTCGGTGACTCTCTTAAGGTCCTTTCCTGCTTGAAAATGGCACGATTCTTAGGATCACTTGTATGTATAGCCAGGTGTTCAGGTTTATCTATTGCGAAATGGAACCACCCAACACTTAATTGCCATAAAGTAGCAAGCGTTGTATTATGCTCACACATTCCATGGGACAGGACAGTGGGGGTGGCTTGTGTCCCACAGTGTCTGGAGTCTCAATTGGGAATGACTTAGTTAAGGGTGACTCAAAGGCACTGGAATCATCTGGAGGCTGCCCCACTGACACATCTGATGCCTGAGCTAGAATGACGAAGTCTGAGCTCAGTAGAGTCTGACAAGCAGAGTGCCTATTTGTGGCCTCCCCACATGACTTGGGCTTCACAAAACATGGCAAATGGGTTCCCAGAGGGAGTGTCTTGAGACTGAGCATCCTGACAGTGAGCACTGCAAAACAGGCAGAAGCTACATGTTCTTTTCAGACCTGGCCATAGAAGTCACTTAGTAACACTTCTACTATATATATATATATATATATATATAATATATATATATATATATATATATATACACACACACACTATATATATATACTATATACTATAGTATATAATATACTATATATAATAATATAATATATTACTATATTAATATATACATAAATATATAATATATATAATTATATATATAATAAACAAATCAGTAAGGCTAGCCTGGATTCAAGGAAAGGGGAAGGAGACTGCAGATCTTTTTGCAGGGTTAGCAAGTTCATACTGTGAAAGGGCTGTCATTGCTACCATCTTTGGAAAGACAAGTGGTGTCTTACAATCCTTAAAAGCCCAATTATCTGTCTGGAATAGTTCATAGGCACCATCTTAAATCTTTCTGAGATCTTAAGAAGGTATTTAAAGTCACATCATTGGTCTCGTTTTTACTCTGGGACTGTGTCTTCCTGATAGCACCCTGGATTTGACCTTTGCACTGAGGACCTTTCTTACTTTGAGAATGCTTTATGCCCTGGAAGACTGGTTTGAGCCCTCTAATACTTCCTCTAAATTTTGCTGGAAAATTGAACAGATTCTTTCTCTTCAATCATATTTTATCATCAGTAACTAAAAGAAACCAGTGGGCACGTTCAGCTTCCCGCCAGGAAATCTCCTTAGCCAGATCCACTAGTTCATTCAGTGTACTTTCTATTTTTCATGTTACTGCAGGTGACGGCGTTGCTAAACCTTTCATGACCACGTATCAAGGTCACCTTTTTCCACCTTCCAACTATAATTTCCTCCTTGTCCCTCTAGCCTTCACTGACAGCCTACTCAAGGTCCATCCACATTTCACTAACAAACTTCCTAAGGCCATTTGACCTTGAGAGATTAAACACATAGTTAATGGCCAGATAGTATATAGATATGGAACTCTGACTCACCATCTTCTTATGGCTAAGAAACCAAGCCATAATCTATAGTAACCAGCCCAGGAAGCCAGCCTACTATAAATCAGACTCGCAGGAAGTCAGAATGCTAATCACTAGCAAAATTCCAGGAACGCAGACAATAACCCCTATAACAATCGGCCTAAAGTGACCAGGACTTGATTAGTAACTGATGACTCCCTTAATTTTTGTCACTGTTTCCAACTTAAGACCAACCAGAAGAAGCTGGATGTGTACCCTAACCAATCACCCAGGACGATGCCCTGCTTCTGGTTAGCCCACCTACAGCACCCCACGCCACCAGTCTCTAATCAGAACAATGTCCTCCCTTTCTTCAACTGAAAGTATCCCACACCTCTGACTGCCTTTGACTTTCTGCCAAAATGCAAGTGATGGTGAAGTTCTAAATAAGAGCTTTTGCCTCTTCTCATCTAGTTGGTCTTACTTTATTTCCACAAGCTTCCTCCTACTGCTCAGTAAAAAGCCAATGGCTTATGCTTTTGTTTTTTATTTTTTGTTTGTTTGTTTGTTTGTTTGTTATGAAAGATTCTCTCTTCCAGGTACCAAATTCTGTTCTGGTTATCTATTACTGCATAAAACCACCCCAAAACTTAGTGGCATAAAATAACCCCCCCCCCCAACCTTCGTCGGGGGAAACACGTCAGTTAGGCGCACCGAGCCTGTGGGTCAGGAACTCATCCAGGACAAATAAGAATGGCTTATCTATGCTCCACAATGTCTGGGCCCTCATGTGGGAAAACTTGCATGGCTGGGGGCAGGAATGATCTGGAGGCTGCCTCATTCACCTGTTCGACACCTGGGCTGAGGCAACTAGAAGCCCAGGCTCCACTGGGGCTGGTGACCACTGGCTTTAGCTCTTGCCAGCATGGGAGCTGGGCTCTGTGATGGAGTGTCCTAAGAGATGCAACCAGACATCTCTTAGGAGAGAGAAAGGCAGAAGCTTCACAGCCTTTCCTGACATAGCCTTGGAAGTCACCTTTGTTGGTTTAGCGAAGCAAATCACCAAAGCTAACCTCGATTCAAAGGGAGGGAATTAGATTCACCTCTTATTATTATTATATTATTATTGAGATTATATATTTATTTTGAGAGAGAGAGAGAGAGAGTGAGTGTGGGAGGGGCAGAGAGAGAGAGAGAGCGAGAGACAGAGAAAGGGAATCTCAAGCAGCCTCCATGCTGTAAGTGCAGAGGCTGACGTGGGGCACAAACTTATCATCTGCGAGATCAAGACCTGAGTCGAAACCAAGAATTGGACGCTTAACCGACTGAGACACCCAGGCGCCTCTAGACTCACCTCTTAATGGGAGAGTGACAAAGTCCCTCTGCACAATTACACGCGGGGTGGGAGATGCTGTTGCAGCCATTTTTGGTAACTATGATTTGCCACTACAGATCACCCTCTTCCTGACATCTGTCTACTCATTCATTCTTACTACGTATTTTTACCCTACTCCTCTCAAAAAGAATTTGAGACACCCAGCCATATTTAGAAGATAGATTCGTGGGCGTGGAAACAGAACAAATGAAATTGGTTGAGCTCAGGTGATAATCTCATACAGGTATTCATTTATTCATTCCATAAGTATTTTTTAAGCGTTAACAGTGGCTTCCACACTGTGATCACCTCAGATGTGAGGTGAGCAAAATTAACACAGGCCTTGTTCTCATGAAGCCTAAGCCCCACTGGAGAGGCGGACATTTAAAAATAATCCCACAAATACGTAACTACAAGTGCTATAATCTTATGAGCGTTACACAGCAATGGTCCCAGAGCTAACTAACGAGTGTGCAACAGAGAAGTCTGGTTTAGTGCAAGGCATCAGAGATTTCCCTGAAAAAGGTGACAGTTAGGCTAATAACTCAAAGATGACCAAAAAGGCAGGTAACTAAACCAGGAGGTTGCCAGATATGTTACATGAGCCGCTGGTAGCACAGAGATGTATTCTTATTGTCATTATTATGCATTTATTTCACAGTTTTGTGCAATTTGTGACAAGTGATATTGCCACAAACCAATATGATATTGGTTTTCCATATTTGTTAGCACATAAGGTTTTCCTGTAAAAATAAATACTTTTAAGTTTAACAAAGTTGTCAGTTTAAAGAACAATGGTAAGTTAAATAACAGGGTAGGCATTACACAAGAAAGATAAATATCATGTAGGTGATGTGTGGATACCTGAAGCTTAGAATGCACTAGACTTGCTATGTTGGGGGATCAGGTAGGGAGGGGAGTCATAGGCAGTAAAGGGAGCATCCTGGTACAAAAACCCTGAGGTGGAAAGGGTGGGGGTGGGGGTCCAAGAAACAGAAAAGTAGCCAACACAACTTGAGCAGAAAGCAAGAGGGAATAGTTTGTAGTGAGCTAAGGGAAGCCAGCAAGGCCCTGGTGTTCAGGGACTTCAGTTCAGAACTGAAGTCACCAAAAATAAAAATGAGCAATTGTACTTTTTTCCCTTAAATATTGTACCTGCAGCAGGTGAATACAAAATCAGTGGTATTTGAGTAGTATCCTTATAACAGAACAAATTTATACTACCTAGATAGCAACGATATTGACTTACAGAGTCTGAGAGCTAATATTCCAGTTGGGAATGGTGTTGTTTCACATGTTTTAATTATCCTAATAGCAGTGGGACATCACTGAAGAATTTGGGAAAGGAGAGCGATAAAATCTAGTTTTCAAGGTCTTAAAAAAGGGAATTTTTGTCAATATAATTCATGCATTTGCAAAAATTGTACAGAAGAGCTAATAGTAATAATAAACAATATTTTTGCTCTCCAACCCCTTTCCCACCCCCAGAAGCAACCACTTTAACTCTCTTCTGTTGTTATTCTTCTGACAGTTTTCTTACCTTTATATATGGATATATGCTTGTATCTCTATTTCTTGATTTATTGAGTTGGGGACAGCATACTCAACAATAACATGTGCTTGCTTAGATTTCTTGGGCTCACCTTTCTCCCAGGCTCACAGCTTGTCCTGCCCAGGCCATCCCAGCAGTGGCAACTAAGTCTGAGCTTCTGGTTCTACCACAGGAGGTCTTCAGGCCACATGCGCAGATCTGGCTTCCCCAGTGGGACCAAGGAGGTTCAGTGACACAACCTGCATGGGGATGAGGGTAGTTAACTCTCCAGGCAGCACATTATGACCAATGGAAGACAGAAAACAAAGGCAGATTGCAGATATATTTTCTCTTCTTTTCTCCCTCTGATGGATTGTTCCAGGCAAAATATTTCCACACATTCTGTCCAAAGAGGCCCTTTGTGACTGAGTGGTCACCTGCTGAGGAACCAGCTATGTTTATTCGTGGTACTTCATGAAGCAATAGCCAGTTCAGTAAAGCAACATCTCTTATCTGCTGCCAGTCCTTTCCTGATTCTTCCATTTCCCTAAGTCTTGCAGAGCTGGGATGACACATCCTAATAAAGCATTAGCCTTTAAGCTTTGCCTCAGGCTGTTTTCTAGGAAAATTAGGCTAAGACAGATATTGCCAATCTTATCTATTGATTTACAGCTATGACTTAACACCATCACTCACATCTTTCTCCCATGTTCCTATAGTTAACTCATTCTTAGTTCTATTAGCTATGCTTGTAACTTTCAGCTTTGTGCTTATAACTTTACTTCTTTTTGCAACCACCTGAGATAGGATCTCTCGTCTCGCATTTTGCAGAATGAAGACACTGGTATCCCTTTCCTTCTTTTACTTCTCTCTCCCTTTCACTCCAAACCTCTGCATCATACTTTCACACGCTTAAGGTTGACAGCATTTGCATCCTCTTCTCTAATCATGATTGTCCTGTTATTTCCCTAAGTGCTGATTCTAAATTTGAAGTGCAATATACAGTGCCTATGCTATGATGACTGTCTGTTGAACAATAAATGTTTGCTGAGAGTTTGCTGTGTTTCAGGCACTGTTCTGTGGGCTCTAGGGATAAAACAATGAACAAAACAGACAAATCCTTGCCCTTGCAGAGCTCAAATTTCAGTGCAGAGACAAAGAATAAGATAAATATGTAAAATATATTGTTGGTGGCTAAGTACTAGGAAGAAAATAAAGCAAGGAAGAATAGGAAGAGTCAGGCTAAGTGGCTGAAATTTTAGGTAGGCTGGGCAGGGAAGGCTGCACTCAGAAGGTAACCTTATGGAAGTGAGGGAGAAAGATAAATGGCCATCTTGGCAAAGGGAACAGCATTTGAAGCAAAAGGACTAGCAAGTACAAGAGCCCTAAGGCAAGAGTGTGCTTATCTTGCAGGAATGACAGCAAAGAAGCTCATGTGGCTGGATTGATCAAGGGGGAAATGTACAGGGGACTAAGGAAAGAGAAGAAATAGGGAGCAGATTGTGTAGGCCCATGTAAGTCCTAGTGAGGATGCTGGCTTTTGTTGTAGGAGAGATGGGACACCTTGAGAGGGTTTTGAGCAGCGGAGTGACAGGATTACTCTTGATATTGTGTTGAGAAGAGACTGAATGGGGGCAAGGGATGAAGCAGGAAATCTAGCTAGGAGAAGATTGAAATAATCTACGAAAGTGATGATGGTGGCTTGAAGTAGAGTGTGGTAGCAGTGAAAAGGATGAGAAGTGGTCAGAATCTGGATATATGTTGAAGGTAGAACCAACATAATTGGTGAATGGTTGGATATGGGAGAAAAAAAAATGGAGTGAAGGATGACCATATGGTTTTTGACCTGAGCAACCACAAGAGTGGTCTTGTCCCCTCACGAGATGAGGAAGACAATGAGAAGAGCAGGCTTTGAGGGAAAAGACCAGGGACCCAACCTTAGCTGGGTTGGGTTGCTGTTTTAGTTGTCTATTACTGCATAGCAAATCACCACAAAACTGCCATGGCTTATGGCTTCTGTGGGTCAAGATTCAGAGAGAGCTCAGCAGATTTCTCATCGAAACTATCCTGGTTTTATCACTGAAAGTCCTAAAACCCACTGGTTCCTGGGGCACCCCTCCCAAATTGTGAGCTCCGGTGATGGGTGCAGGCTTTGCAGCCAAAGAAATTGGAACTGAAGGCAGCGCTGTTTTTAGTGCCAAATGAACATGGCATAAACTATCTGCCTGTAGCTGTTGCTATCACTGATTTTTCTCTTGACCACTAATGCTGGCAACTATGATTTTTAGTTCACAATAATGGATCACCTGTTGTTATGTCCTTTCGAGTGGTAAAAGTTAAGTGTACAACTCAAGTGCTTTGTGATCATGGTATTAACAGTCCATGTTTGACTTGGCCTGTGGATTAACTGTTGCGCTTTGTATTAAGATTATTTTGGGGCGCCTGGGTGGCGCAGTCGGTTAAGCGTCCGGCTTCAGCCAGGTCACGATCTCGCGGTCCGTGAGTTCGAGCCCCGCGTCAGGCTCTGGGCTGATGGCACAAATCCTGGAGCCTGTTTCCGATTCTGTGTCTCCCTCTCTCTCTGCCCCTCCCCCGTTCATGCTCTGTCTCTCTCTGTCCCAAAAATAAATAAAAACGTTGAAAAAAATTAAAAAAAAAAAAAGATTATTTTGGCCACCTTGGATAATCAGGATAGATCCCCACCCAAAATTTGGTTTAAATGTTGAGATTGATGCACACACCAAGAGGCTATGGAAAAGTTAATTTATTTACATCATTGAAGCATCTGGGAAGAGCAGGGCGGACATCTCCAGCCAGCCCGGGTGCTTTGAGAGAGCAGGGAAAGGAGACAGATGGGCTTGGAGTTTCTATTGCGGTGAGGGAGTGTGGGTGGGATGAGGGTTCCCAGTGTGGGTACAGGTTGTGTGGTTTGAACCTCCCAGTAGCACCAAAAGAGAGAACAGGCTTTCGTGGCAGCTTGCCCAGATGTAGGGCAGGGTGGGGATACAGAAGGGATGAGGCTACAAAAATGGAGTCAGCCTCTTACTACAGAGATAGCGCTAGGTTAATTTTTAAAACTGTGAATAGTGTGACAGTGTTTTCTAAAAGTTCAGATCATGAAAACGGGAACACCTGAAATATCACAAGCATGGTCGAGATATCATTGAAAGGGAGGTTAACTGTGTGATTTTACGACAGAAGGAAAGATACACACAACTGGACTAGGGCAGTAAATAGCCTGAACAGAGCATGCTGTACAATATGCAGAAAATTATCTTAGGTTGGGCGAGACTGAGGAGGAGACTGTGAAAACACATGCAGGGACTGAATCTCACAAGTCTGGTATTAGACAAGGAAACACTGAATTAATCAAATGTTTGCCCCCCAAAGGTACCAATGCTCAGCTGAAAACAGTGACCACAGAATTAGTTTGGGCATACCACATGAATGAACACACATTATTTGATCATCCCCCTTCTGGCTCTGTGGACCTGAGTAAAGTTATATTTACTGATTCATGGGCTGGAACTAAAATGTCCTGTGGGGCAATCTGAGAACAGATCTGTTGGCCTCTGTATTGGGTTGCCAGGGCTAGACAGTACCACAACTCAGGTGGCATAAAACAACAAACAAATTGTAGCCCCTCACAGTTCTGGGGACTAGATGTCTGAAAAGAAGGTGTCAGCAGGGCCGGGCTCCCTCTGAGGCTCTCAGAGGAATCTGGTGCCTGTCTCCCAGTTTCTGGTGGCTCTGCCAATCCTTGGCATTCCTTGGCTTGTAGCTCCATTGTTCCCGTTTCTGCCTTCATCTTCCCATGGCCATTTCCCTCCCTGCCACCCACCTACCACACCCCCCCACAGTGTCCAAACTTCCCTCTTCTTAAAGGACATGGGCCCATGCTAATCCAATATGACCTCATCCTGACTTGATTACCTCTGCAAAGACCCTATTCTCAAATAAGGTCACATTCACAGGTTTCAGATGGACTTCAGTTTTGCAGGGGACACTATTCAACCCAGAATGACCCCTTACACTGCAGATCTTACCCATGAATGTACTTTCCTTAATATGTTAAGTCATGCATTGAATTACAGCAACAACAACAACAACAAATGTTTACCCCCTCTTAGGTATTGTACTTATTTTATTTTATTTATTTGAATGTTTATTTAATTTTGAAAGAGAGAGAGAGAGCTCCTGCACAAGTGCGGGAGGGGCAGAGAGAGGGGGACAGAGGATCCAAAGCAGCTCTCTGCACCCACTGAGCCACCCAGGCTCCCCCCACCACCATCTTAGGTATTTTGATGTGAAAAATGGAGTCTCAAAGCATTTTCTTGGTTTCTATGAAGATTTTAAGAAAAGTGTAGAAAACAGAAAACAAAAGATTGTTGATACCTTGTTCAAATAAAAACTAGACCTTGCTCATCTATCTGCATATTCAGCAGAGAGTGCAAATGTAAATCCTGGCAAATTCTATTCAGTCTATAAACTTCTCTAATGTAGACTTAATAATGGCAGAGCTGCAAGTCAATGTGAATCTACATTTGACTGTATTCAGTTTTACCACTACATAAAAGCCCCCCCCCCCCCCATGTCTTAAAGGCTGCAGGCAGTTCAGAGAAATGTTATTGGCAAAGGAAACAAAGATTTAAAACAACATACTTATGGGACACCTGGGTGGCTCAGTCAGTTAAGTTTCTGACTTCCACTTAGGTCATGATCTCATGGTTTGTGGGTTCGAGCCCTGCTTTGGGGCTCCAGGCTAACAGCTCAGAGCCTGGAGCTTGCTTCAGATTCTGTGTCTCCCTCTCTGTTTCTGCTCCTCTCCTGATTGCTCTCTGTCTCTCTCTCTTGCTCAAAAATAAACATTAAAAAAAAAATAAAATAAAATAACCTACTTATATCAGAAGACAGAAAAAAAATCATTGTTATTTTTTATTAAATATAAGTAACATTTGTTTCATGCTACTGTATTTATGTTATCTTTTAAAACCACTTTAAGAATACATAGTAAAACAGCCTATAAAATTTAAATTTCCAATATAAAGTTTAAAAAGAGATCAAATAAATCGCTATATCCAGGACAAGAAGTAAACTATTAAAATGTTATGTTTTTCTCACACATATTATTTAATTAGTCCTACTATTAATTACTTCTAAATGCCATTGTTAACTAGTCCTATTATTATTTATTTATGTATTTATTGTAGTATTTATGTTTATGAGCATATATTGATCTCTAGCATTCTGCTTTTGAGAGTCGTTTGATAAAGATTTCAAATAAAAATTAGAA